TTTTAATTGCATTTCAGTGATAGCTAATAATATTAAACTCTAATTTTGAACTAATGTGAGGTAAAAAATTCAGCACAATGCATTCAGCCTTTTAATTACCTGGCCACACTATGTAATAAGGCTATTATATATTTGTGGGCTCAGATTCTGCTGGGGAGAAAATTCAAAATACAAAATAGTAGTGGGAATGTTCTTCGGAAATGAGAATGGTGAGAGTTCACCTCACCTACTTTGGTCATGTGTTCAGAAGGGACCATTCCCTGGAGAAGGATATCACGCTTGGTAAAGTGGAGGATCAAGGAAAAAGGGGAAGGTCCTCAAAGAGAAGGAATGACAAAGTGGCTGCAACAATGGGCTCAGGTATAGCAAAGATTGTGAGGCTGGCACTGGACCAGAGAGTTCTTTTGTACATGTGGTCACTATGAGTCAGCACCTGACAACACTAAGAGACAAACAGAACTACTAATTTCATAGAAATGGACAATCTATCTCATCTAGCCATTTATCAAACAGTTGTTTTTATCAATCCAATTTTTATCTTCTCCTTTATCATTGGAGATTCGGTTCAAAATCAGAATGTAGCTTCTTAATTTCATGAATATGCTCACTTTTTCAATACCTCTATACCCTTTAGATACAATCGACCTTCCTCTTTGTAAAATGAAGAGAACGTAAATCAACCAAGGTAGTAGTTACTACAATTTCTTGCAACTGAGAAAAATCATAAAAATCTACAAGCAATGGGGATCTTTTTGTTGTTGTGTGCTGTCAAGCTGATTCCCACTCAGAATGACCCAATGGGACAGAAGAAAACTGCCTTACAGGTTTTCCTAGACTGTAATCTTTACAGGAGCACATTGTCAGGCATTTCTCCCATGTCATGGAAAATCTGGTAAGTGTTCTAAGTGCAGAATTCCACTCTGCATTTAACCACCACCTTACTAGGGCTCTGAATGGAATGCCACAAATTGAGAACTACATGCATCCAAGAAACATGGACACAAAATTCCCAAATTTTCTCCATGGCAGTGGAATAAGTGAAAAACCTTCAAGTTCAGTCACCATGAAACGTTTACATGTTAAAACAGCAAGCACTAATTATTATCCATCAAATAACCATGTATTTTAATAGCAGTATCTCCTATGCAGTTTCCTGAATAGTGTGAATGATTGTTGGTTTTCTACTGCTAGCCCAGAGGAATCTCAAAAGAATATCCTGGCAATCTAGTTTTGAAAAATTAACCACAGACAACTATTTGGAGCACAGTTCTACTCTGACATATGCAGTCACCATGACTCTGAATTGACTCAAAGGCTACTAATTTGTTTTGTATTCTCCATGAACGTGTGGAAGAAGTGAGAAAGACTTTGACCCCACAGCAAGTATGTTGTAAAATAGTTGGAAGTTACAGGATATCAATTTTCACTAAGTAAGTATAGAAAGCTTCAAAATATTTAGATGCATGTAAATGGAGATTTTAATATAAATTAAATATCCCATAATTTGGATATAGATAATTGAGAGGAGTTAATTATTTAATTATTTACAATTCTAAAATAGTAATGATTTTAACATCGGGAATATTGCATTGTGTAATATTGCATCTCAACAAAATAATTTTATATAGTGACAAACCAGAGCACCCAGGGAATATATGTTTTAGTTTATCTTTCCCCAAAATAAAATCTAAGAAAATTGTCTTAGTAGAGTTGGTGCACTTATGGAAGTTATTCCTAAGAACGTGAGTGGAGATTGATAGTTGTGAAACAAAACAGGAAGGAATGTCAATCCAAGGGTGAGCTCTTGATCCTGCTACTGCTGTGAGAAACTGGTGTTCATTCTTCTGAAGGACCCACTAAAGAATATGCAGGATGAGCTTCAGAAGTATATGCCCAAGACATGGAGAAAGGAGTTTCCCAGTTGCTCTCATTTTCCACTGTTTGCATAAGGATGTTCTAACTCCCTCAGAAGCTGGTATTAAGCTCCTCTTTCAGACAATCCAGGATGCCAAAGACCAGAATCCCTAGATACAAAGCAGGAGCTACAAGGTGCAAATCAAAGATACCATCAGGAAATGTTAATTCAGCAGGTGTTGCAGTGACAGCCAGCACAGAAGGTTCAATGAAGAAGATATGAGAATGGGCATGAAAGATGTTCAACACTCACACCATTCTGTGAATGTTGTTTGTACTCTTTCTGGCTAACTGAAAAATCACAGTAATTTGTCTTACTTTAGGGTATAGGTCCACAAGATTTTCCAAACATAAATATAGCTACCATGTTAATCACAATACAGAGCAGTTTTACAATTACCAACTCTTCCATCATGCTGCTTCTTTATATCTAAACCCACTGAAGATTAACTTCCGGCAACCACGGATCTGTTCTCTATTGTGATATTTTTGCAATTCTCAAAATTTTACATAAGTGAAATCATACAGAATATTACTTTTTGAGACGAGATTTTTCACTCACCATTGTGCCTTTGAGATACATCAAGCTTGTTGCATAGATAAAGCATATATCAGCATTCCTTTTATTGTGGGTTACAATTTCATTATGAATAAGCCACAGTATGTTTATCCATTTATTTAATGATAATAATTGCATAATATTAATGTTCAATATAACAAATGTTAACCCTTAAATATTCATTACAGTGTTGGGATAACTATAGTTTTATAACCATATAGTTACTGAAAAGAAACATAAAATAACCAACAAAACAAAATCCACATGATGTTCTAACGGTATGAGAATGATATCCAAATGTGTGTTATATAAGTGCAGAAGGACTTATTTTCCTCTGTGTCTTACCTTCTCATCTGAAAATGGAGACATTAATAAAAATAGCCTACCAGTGCTTTTGTGAAGGAAGAATGAATATATTAATGTGAAGTCTTTATACCAAGAGTAATCATCCCATAATTATCATCATCATCAACATCAAGACTATTTTTAAAATTCAATTTTATGAGTATGAGAGAAATGGGGAGAATGTCTAGAAAGTAAGAAACAGCAAGTGCAAAGAAAAGAAAAGAGTCAAATACTAGAGAAATTATTCCATAAGGGATTTAGAATTTGGGATAACATATTTTTCTTAGTAAGACAGAAAAGAAATATTGGGAAAATGAAGATAGAAAGAAAAAGCTAGAAAATGTAGACAATGGGAAGGAAAATGTATGGAGGGAGGATGGAAATAAGGGAAAAGATAAAAATAAACAGGAAAAAAGATTCTTTTTTCCATAATGTATTAATATTCAAAAGGATATCAGAAATATATTTAAATTGAAATAAAATACATTTAGTGTTAGTATACTAAATTTAAAATGAGAAATGATTAAATATAGAAAAATTAAAGGAAATTTAAATTTAATAGTTGTTGTTGTTGTTGTTAAGTGCTGTCGAGTTCATAAATAATATCCTTATCAAAACAAACAAATTACAGGGAAAAATATCACAAATTTGAAGTTACTCAAATTTATTTTAACTATTGAATGAGTGAAATGTGCTACCTGGAATTTTATTAAAATATATAACTTTTTAAGTATCATGAAATCATCCCAACTAGGAAAGTGAATGTTGTTGGTTAAGGTGAATGTGAAGTGAACAATGTTACGCCACACCTCAATAATGTGTATAAGAACATAATACTTAAAAGGTTCCTAGTGGATTAAAAACTGGCAAGACATTTGTCAACATTCAGACCCAAATAATGACAAAAAATGGGCCATTCCATTCAGCAGGAAAAATGAGATAATTTATTATTATTATTTTATTATTTATAATTATCTTTCCTACTATGTGATGTTGAGCTCATTGTGACTCATACTGACCTTATATATCACAGTATAACTGCTACATAGGACTTGCTAGGCTATACCCTTTAAAGGAAAAAAAATCACTTGGTCTTTTTTCCATGTAGTGACTGCTGGGTTCAAAGGGCCAATTTATTGTTAGTAGCCTAGAGGTTAACAGTTGCACCACCAAGCTTCCTTAAATAGATTTTTTTAAACCAAATGAGTGGGTTGTGCCATGGCTTAGTTGGTTAAAGTGTCTGTCTAGTAAACAGGAGGTCCAGGGTTCAAATACCAGTAGTGCTTGTACCTAAGTGACTATATTTGGGAGCTCTGGTGGTATAGTGTCTAAGGCATCTGACTGCTAACCAGAAGGCTGGTGGTCCAAACCCACCAGCCACCCCTTGGAAGGAATATTAGGCAATCTACTTCTGTAGCGATACTCCTTCAGAAACCCAAGGAGGGGTCACTATGAGTCAGAAACAACACGATGGCAGTGCTTTAGTTAGTGTAAACCAAACAATCTTATATGCATTAGTACTTATAAAAGTAACCAATATTTTAGACACTTACATCTTAGAGGACAATTTTCCACCAAACATTTTGCCAAGGGCCACCTTCATGTCCTTGTCTCTCAAACTGTAAATGACAGGATTCAGAGTTGGAGGTAACAAGATATCTAACCTGGACATAATGAAGTTCATTGATGTTGAGCATTTGAAGGCTGAACCTAAGTATGCAGTAATTCCAGAGGAGAGAAACAAGGTCACCACAATGAGGTGGGGGATGCATGTAGAGAAAGTTTTGAACCTGCCTTGAGTCGGTGAAATCCTTAAGACAGCTGAGAAAATGTGAACATTGGAGACAACCATTACAAGAAACCATACAAAAACAAAACAACAGGTAGCAATGATAAATGCATATTCTAGAACTTGCTCCCCAGAACATGCAAGTGTAAGTAATGATGGAATATCACAGAAGAACTGATTAACTAAGTTAGGCCCACAGAAATTGGTAGAGAATGTACCTGCTACTTGAATGCAGCCACAGACACATCCACTGAGCCAAGATGCAGTTGCCATCTCTACACAAGTCTATCTATTCATGATGGTCTCATAGTGCAGAGGAAGGCAGATGCCAGTACAGCAGTCATAAGACATGACTATAAGGAGGGAAAACTCTGTGCCAGTGACAAACATAACAAGAAAAGCCTGTGTGGCACATCCTAGAATAGATATGGAATGACTGCTAGTCAGAGAGTTCATGATGGACTTGGGGACACTGACAGAGATAAAGCACATGTCAATTAAGGACAAATTCTTCGGGAAGAAATACATGGACACTTGGAGGTGCCGGTCAATGCTGGTGAGAGTGACAATGAGGAGGTTTCCCATCATTGCTGTTAGGTAAATGAGGAAGAAGAGGGCAACATACAGTCTCTGTAATATCCAGTCATCAGGAAATCCCAAAAGTAAGAATTCCGTGATAATAGTTATGATGACTTTTTCCTTAGTCATGTTGTTTTTTTCTCTGCAGAAGCTTAAGACAAATAACATTTACTGCATTCATTTCATTATCAGAATTTGCCTCTTTTTTGGTTTTTTGGTTCTGATTGTTTCTTTTGGATTCTGAGGAATATTTTTAATGTCATCAGAGTAGTGCCAGGGAAAGTTACCTATTATAAATTGTAATATTCATTTCGTGTACAGAAAATTATATTAAGATTGTCTTTAAGAGAAACATGGACTAAAGAAGCATTTGGTGGGCTATGATAATAAAATACATCTAGCATATTTTCAAGATTATAACTGAACCATTGACATTTTTACAAAGGCTTCAAATTAAGCAGATAGTATATGAGATATCTTTTTATATTAAATAGAATCCTAGACATATCTTCTCATTCTTCTCTTCTCATATCAATGGTTCAGAAAAGGTATGTGGATGCCATGAATCTAATAACAAAAATTTAAATATGATAACTAACAAGTTATTTTCCAAAAAGAAAATGGAATGTAATCCTACAAAATATATGTAGTTACTTAAATAAAGAAAAAAAGTAAAATAAGCAGGCCTATTGTACAGGAAAAATATGGTAGATGCATATAGACTTAGGAGAAATCCACTTAACTGATATAAATATACTTTCCCCAATTTCAGGCATCCAATTTGTAAAAGGATGGGGAAATGAAACCTAAGGATGAGATTGACACAGAGTACTTTGTCATACAGTAAGAAAGCCTGGATGAAGGGAACTTTTCTTTCAGCTGTTGTTGTTGTTGTTATGTGCCGTCGAGTCTTACCCAACTCATAGCGACCCCTCCTTGGATTTCTGAGGCAGTATCACTACGGAAGTAGATTGACTCTTCTTCCTTCCCAGGAGTGGCTGATGAGTTTGAACCACCAGCCTTCTGGTTAGCAGTCAAGTGCCTTAGGGACTATGCTACCAGAGCTCCTTTTCATTCAGCAGGAAACAGATTTCTGTATAAGTATCTTGTTGTTCTGTTTTCCTGTGCATTCGCTGAGTTCTAACTTTCTATCCATTGGCATGCAAAGGCTTAAAGGATACTTATATTTCTCCTGCATTTTTATAAGAGGTTACAATTGACTAATGAGAATGAGCACTTATTAAGTGTATTGGCAACGCCCCTGAGGGGGAAGGTCATTTCCTAGATATACTGAAACTTTGGATATAAAGATTTAGGTCTGTCTTTAGATAATTTGTTAACACAATAGATTTTCCTGTTATGAGACATATCTCATCAGTAGTAGAATAATTTGTTACTGCCTTTATTCCTTGAATAGACCATGTGAAATTTTATATTTGATGAAAAAAAAAATAATAATAACTTCATGAACTTACTTCACACATGTAATCAGCTATGTCACTTTCCTGTAGTACTTATTTTGATTTTTTTAACTTTTATTTATAATAAACATAATATTTGTCCTTCTGTCATACAAAATATTTAAGTTACCAGAAATTCTCTCCTTTTGCCTTCACTCCATTTCCTTTTCTAGGGCAGAATTCTAAAATATTTTATTGTATCTATTTTCTTTCTTTTTTTATCTGTAAATTGGTGACTGACATATAACAATGACAAAAATCTATTTTATCATAAGGGAGATTTTTCCAACCATTTTTCTAGATGATTATTTTTCACTTAATAACTTTAAGAAACATTTACAAGTACATTTCAAATATATTAATCTTTGGTTTTTAATGTTTACATGTACTTCAGAATATGAAAATGTAATATTTTAAAAATTCTTCAGAATTTTTCATATTACTAACAAATTTTAAATGAAGCAATTGTAATTTTTTTACACATACACATGTATTTTCTTATATTTTTTTTGAGTGTAATTCATAGATGAAATAGCTCCGAATTTTTTGTAAATGCCATGAATTTTTGTCATGGTAAATTTGTACTCCTACATATAACATTCCATTTACACACATACTTGCCTTTACTGGAAATTTTTAATTTATTAATATATATTAAACTTATGGGAAAAAAATTATCTCCATAGATAAACATGATCTCATTTTTATACCATCAGCAGTGACATTATTCCAATGAAGCAAAACACTGGAAACAGAGATATATTGTTGTTGTTGGGCTTACAAATTATAAAAATGAAATATATTTGGCAAGTGTAAGATAAAGTAAGATGTCAGAACAAAGCTGTACTTCAGAATGAAGACAACACCCTATGGTAACTCAAATCAACAGGAAGAAATGAAGGTAATAAAACTTAATACAAAAAAAATTAATATAAGAAACTCTACAAATATATTTGCTATTTTATCTTCTCTCTGCTTTCTTAAAATCTGTAAAATGATATAAAATAATAACAATGTATCATTGGTACATAATATATCTGCAAGCAGTCTGTATATCAGTAATATAAGGAAAGGAGGAGGGAAATGGAGCTGCTAGGAAAAATATTCTAATATCCCTGCAACGAAGTTGTTATAAATTTAAAATAGATACTGATAAAATATAATAAATTTTTTTCATTTACTCATGTTAAATACAAAGTAGAAATACAGGGTAACCTTCTCAACTCATTAAAGAATATCTGCAACAACCCTATATCTAACATCTTACATGGTTATGAGCTCCGTTGATAACTGAAATGTTGGTAGTTTGAAGCCACACAGAAGATCCATGGGAGCAAGACCTGGCAATCAGCTCCCATAAAGATTATATTCTCAAACACCCTATGGGGCAGTTCTGCTCTGTCACTCCAGGTAACTGAGTTGAACTTCACTTGACAGCATCTAACAACAACAATAACTTCATACTTACTGGTGAGGGATTGCATGTTTTCCATCTAAAGTCAGGAAAGAAAAGCAAGTATTATTCTCTCACCACTCCTATTACACATCTTACTGGAAGTCCTAGCTAATATAATGAGTCAGCAACAACAAAAAAACATAAAGTGTAGAGATGTGAAAGGAAAAAAAAAAAAAGAGTTTCTTCACTGATGGCATACTTAGAAGAAAACCCAAAGAATCACCAAAAAAATCTTGGAACTAATGACTGATTACAGAAAGGTTGCAGGATACAATATTACTATGTAAATTCAATTACTTTCTATATACAAGCAATTAGAAATTCAAATGCAAATTAAAAACTCTGTATCATTTACGTTAGCATCCAAAATTGAAATTGTTTGTTTTGTTATGTGTCGTTGAGTCAGACCCAACTCACAGCGACCCCTCCTTGGGTTTCTGAGACTGTATCACTACGGAAGTAGATTGCACAAGCTTCCTTCAGAGGAGTGGCTGGTGGGTTTGAACCACCAGCCTTCTGGTTAACAGTCAAGTGCCTTAAGCACTATGCCACCAGAGCTTGGTTATAAATGCAACAAAATATTTAGAGGATCTCTTCAAGGAAAGGTATAAAAATCTACTGCAAGAAATCAAAGAAGATCAAAATAAATTGATTTCAAAATGGTCATTAATGGTAGCCAGACACCAGACAACTTACTTACCCTCCTTCTTCCTCTGTTTCTCCAGGTGACTGGAGATCACTATTGTGTCTTGGATGTCAGCTTGCTAGATTTTATGACTCAAGTCACTATGCAATAAAATAAGAATTAGAACAGAAGTACTAAAAATATTATGATAATTTTAATGTTTGGATATCCTTTAAAACTATGACCAAGAAAACTAATCCTACGAGGTGTTTGATTGTGTATATCAGCTTCAAACACATTCCACCCACTATTATTTTGCTATATATATAACTTGATATTTGCCAAGTCAACATTTTTAAGGTATACAGCTTAGTGATCAGCACTGTATTAATCACTTGTATAAATATTAACTTTAATTGATGCCATATTTCCTTACATCATAAACAAAAAATAGAAATGATTGTCATTTCACTAGTTGAAAAAAATGGAGAAAAATGCCAGCATTAGATTGCAATACTGAAAGATTCTATGGGAAATTAATGAACAATGCAGGAAGCATGAAAAGAATATGGAAGGAATGCACAGAGTCACTGTGTCAAAAAAAAAAAAAAATATGATCAACATTCACTCATTTCAGGAGATATCATATTATCAAAATCCAATGACAATAGAGGAAGAAGTCCAAGCTTCACTGAAGGAATTGCTGATAAACAAGGCTCCAGGAATTGACAGAATACCTATGAGAAATTTCAACAAACAGAAGCAGAGCTGGAGGCATTTCCTTTTTTTTATGCCAGAATATTTTGAAGGGAGCTTCCTGGCCAATTGTCTGAAAAAGACCAATACACATTTCTATTCCAATGAAAGGTGATCCAACACAATGTGGGAATTTTTTTAACAACATCATTAATGTCACATACATGTAAATTTTTACTTAAGATAATTCAAAAACAGTTGATGAAGTATATTGACAAGAAACTTCCAGGAATTCAAGCTAGATTCAGAGGAGGATGTGGAATGAGGGATATCATTGCCAATATCAGATGGATCTTGGCTGAAAGCAAAGAATATTACATAGATGTTCATCTGTGTTTTATTAACTATACAATGACATTCAACTGTGTGGATCATAACTAATTATAGATAATGAATGATGAATGGGAATTCCTGAGAAATTAATTGTGCTCATGAGGAACCTGTGCATAGACCAAGAGTCAGTTTTTCTGACAACACAAGGGAACACTGAGTGGTTTAAAATCAGGAAGGGAATGCTTCAGGATTATATTCTTTCATATATTTATTTAATATGTACGTTGAGCAAATAATCTGAGAAACTGGACTATATGAATAAGAATATGGCATCAGGATAGGAGGAAGACTCATGAATAACCTTTGTTATGTTGTTGACACAATCTTGATTGCTGAAAGTGAAGATGACTTAAAGTATTTACTGATGGAGATCAAAGGCTACAGTCTTCAATATAGATTGGAACTCAACACAAAGAAAACAAACAAACAAATCCTCACAATAAGCAACATCATGATAAATGGAGAAAAGATTGAATTTATCAAATATTTCACTTTACTT